ACTCCTATTACACCACTCCATTGCTTGCATCTCTGTTTTTGAACTTAGCCAAAAACTGATGAAAAGCAGAAAGGGAGTGAACAGGGCCAGTGAGTAACACTCATGTTAAAGATAGGGGCCCAGTATCAGTTAGTCTGTGCAGAAGGGGCGTGAAGGTCTAGTAGAGTGGTTAAGATTACAGTTAAAAACTATATGTCTTCACAGTGACGGTGTGTATATTTTCCATATGCTTTGCAGCCAAGTGCACACAACAAATCCCTGCCTGGTTCCATTTAATTATATTGCGTTAACAACTAAGCATTTTATAATTGTAGAACTTGTTCTCAGCTCCTATTTAGGAAATATTTGTTAAACTTAATTTCTCTTGAACGGTTGTTGCCTTTAGTTCTGTGCCTACATTATGTAACAGTGAAAACAAATCTGCCGGTGGATAGAAAGAACATTTTATTTTAAGGTAACTACACTGCATTGCCCTCTGAGGTTAAACACACAGAGTAGAGAGATTTTAGCTTGTCTGCCATCACATGACCTAAGATTCCACCATAAAACAACAGAGACAGAGAAGTGTCATGTCATAAAGCTGAGATAATCCCTTCAGCGCTGTTATCCTTCATGAGTGCATTTAAAGGCCCAGTGCAGCTTAGTAGGGGTTTGACAAATGATATATATAAACCCTCTTCCATCAGAAATGTAAAAACTGAGAATTGCGTATTACCTTTGCATACATTCAAAATTAAAATCAAAACTACAAATTAGTTTTTTGACATTTTTCAAAAAAGGTTCTTTTAAAAAAATCTTTTTAAAAGAGATTTTTTGGACACTTCTTCATCCGTTCACTTTCACGTTTAAGTTTCATTGAATTGGAGTGATTTTCCATTTGGATTGTACCGGTCTAGCTGTGTGGAAATAAGTTCAAGTTGTACCTGACATGGTAACAAAACACTTTTACTCCCTCACATGACATTGTAAAAATATTTGGAGCACTGACATTTTGTTAATGATCATCTTGCACAAAGGAGAAAAATGGCAGTAGAGGACGAGGGGATGTGCGTCCAGCCGGAGCGGCTCTCAGATCTCTGATTGGCCAACAGTGGGTTGCGTTTGCTTACACAGCCTTGGCTTCAGAATCTTAGTTGGGAAATGTTTGGTTGTTGAGTTTAAAGTCATTTGATGGTTATTCAATGATTAGCCCGGGGTGTGGGGACCATCAGATACTCATAAGCCATAAAATGTGATGTGAGTGGGGTCATCTGCGTAGATAGGAGGAGAACATTCTTGAGACAGAGCCAATTAGGAAATCTCCACGACCGTCATACGTCGTCCAATCACACACTTATCGTATGGAAATAATAAATTCTTAATGACCTCTTCCTCATTCTTGTCTTATTGTACCGTAGAAAGCATTGGGAACTTTGCCAGATTCAATGAATGGAATACCACTGTACACAGCAGGTACTGTGGAAGAACACTAGGTCGTTCAGGAGTAAATATACATGGTGCTGCTCTGGGATAAATTATTAGGTTTGACAACCATCACATCGTTGTGGTTGCAAATTAAAAGATGAAGAATATGTTTATGACCCGAGCCTCATTAGAAACATAACATCAATATATGTGTGGTTTATTTTTCTAATGAAGTGCTGACAGTGAAAAAACACTGCTTTGTTCAGACCACAGACTTGGTGTTGTGTATTGTGCATTCATCATGACTTGGGACGTTACTGTGGGCAAAGGGGTTTAATTTTTCACAAACTCAAACTCTTAATTTTGGAAAAAAAAGTATTTTATGGCATTCATTTAGCATACAAGTACAGAACAAGTGTCTGCTCAGACTCCTGGTTCTTTTGACCATTTAACATCTTCAACATGTTCATGGAACTCATTCTCTGAAGAGAGGCTTTCGCAGAGCAAGGCCCGAGATTTTTTATTCAGGGTTACGTCTGTGGATGTGAGCACAAAGTTGTACAGAAGAGCTGCAACCACAGCAGCGCTCATCGGTCCTGCCCAGTACACCTGGACAAAAAGACAAAAAAAACAAAAACAAACAAATATATATATAAAAAAACATTTTCACTTTTCATTTATATAAATAAGTCAGGAATGCATTATTGGAATCACAGCTTCACTGTACGTACCCAATGATCGTCAAATGACTTCAGGATAACTGCAGGCCCAAATGATCGAGCCGGGTTGATTCCACATCCTGTGTAGCGGATCTGTAAACCACATCAGAGGAAAACACAGCTTGTGTCTCTGGCTGTACAGCAGATTACATGCTTTGCAACCTGATTTACTGCCAGTTCAACCTACGCAAATCCATTGTATCGGGCCACAGTATGATTGAAAAACAATCCCAATTATTGAGTAGGGGAAATAAAGGAATGTTATGATGTACTTACCCCAGCGAGGTGTCCTAACCCTACAGACAGTCCGATAGACAGGGGCGCAAACCTGCCAACGTCACGTCTTTTGTCAGTGACCGCGAGCACACACAGCACTAACTGAAGGGTGAGCAGGAATTCTATGGTAAAACCTTGACCTGGGCTGACATCATTTAGCTGCAGAGAGGAAAGCAGTTCTGTTTGTGCACCTCCATTGTCTAAATGTAAACAGTTCAGGAAGTCATCGTCTGCCATTTATGAAAAAAAAAATCATTAAAATTTAGCCACCATGGGCGTACAAGCAAATATATATATATATTTAATTATACTGCAGGCAGTTCCTCCAAGTGTCACTCAGACTGAGAACCAAATGTCAGTTTTGTTCAGGCATAATTGAAGGCACACAAATTCAACCTTACCTTGTTCAAACCGAGTGAGTCTATGATTTCTGGCCTGATGCCATACACAATAGCACTGCCAGCCATTGCTCCCAAGATCTGAGCTATTATGTAGAAGAAGGCTCTGAGGATGCTGGTCTGGCAGCTGGTCAGGAGGCCCAGGGTGACGGCAGGATTCAGGTGTGCACCGCTGACGTGACCTATACACTGGACCAGAGTAGCAATGGCCGAGCCAAAAGCAAATGCCACCTTTATCTCCTGGTCTGGATAAGTGTTATATTTGTCCCCTATGGCTGCAGAGAGGCCAATGAAGACGAAGATCATCATACCAAGGAGCTCGGCCAAGACGGCCCTCCAGAAAGCCCACGTTTTGATCTCGGACATGGCTGCGTTGACCAGACGGACATGTGTCAGTGTTCGACTGTTGAATGAGGCCACTTTAGCAGAGGTCCATTCCCACCAGCAGAGCAGATGAAAACATAATGAGCAACATTCTGCAGCTGAGACAAAAGGGCGTGACTTTAAAGAATCGGGCCTGATTAGAAACAGCTGAAAGATGGAGCAGCTGAAAGACGCGGCTCCGGCCACTGAGACTGACCTTTACGTTGTCCGCTCACATTCAACCAGGTTTACAGAAGGAACTGATTATAGGAGGGAAAAAATGAAAGTCAATTAAAGTCCCACTGCAGTAAAGTTACAATGTGTAGGTTTAGATGACATCTTTAAATGAC